GGGGGCGCGCGCCTCCCCGGATTCACGCTGTGCATGCTGCGTCCCCCGTCCCCTGTGTTGCAGGGACACATCGGGCCAGGGCAGGTTCTGCACCATCTTCAGGTCCTACTCCAGGGGCGCGCAGGTAAGCCCAGCATCAGTGCGGGTGCTATTCTCCAGGACAACCTCCCCGGCTGCTGTATGTCACTCTTTCTAAGCAAGTCTTGGCGTTTGAACACCCGGCTTCCACTAGGAGTCCAAACGAGGATGTCCTCTGAGTGACGCAGCTTTGGCCGTCAGAGCTCCGTGGCGCCAGTCGGCGTCCCGAGCTCTGCGGGAGTGTGCTGGGAGCCTTGGGGAGCCTCTCAGTCACCAGTTCACTGGGAAGAGGGGGCTGCCTGGGCGGGCTGGCCGGGATCACTGCTGAGGACTTCAGGGACCGAGCATCGGAGCTGCCGCGGAGGGGGCTACTGCAGGCCCTTAGAGGCAGGGGCGCCTGCCCATTTCTGTCTGCGCCCCCAGGTTCCCCCAGCGTGCTTGCGTGCTGACTGGGTCTGTGTGGTTCAAGGCTAGGCAGAGGGAAAGTAGCCACACCAACAGAGCTGTGGACTCTCACTGCCGGATCGGCTTTGTCGGCTTTGATTCAGGGCAGGCCGTGACCCCCCTGCAGAGGAGACCCCTGGAGTCAGAGCTGCCCTGCACCCCAGGCAGGGTCCCCCGTCGGGAGCACCACACACTCGTGCTGGGACCTGGCGCTTGGGCACGTGGCCGGGCCTCTGGCTGTGGGGCACGGGCCACGGGTGGGTCTGCACTCATCAGGAGCAGGTGCTGCCTGTCACCAGCCCCCCACTCTGGCTCGGGCTTGAGGGGAGTCCCCTGGGCATTTGTTTTGCTTCGTGAGCAGGGATGAATGCCCAGCCACTCCCATGCTGCTCTTTCTGGTCCGTGGGACCTGGGAAACCAGAGGGAGATTTCTTCTGTGACAGAGTCGGATGGAGTCTGAGTAGATGTCGACAGGAACACCCAGCCCCAGCCTTTCCTCCAGGGCCTCCTGAGTGGGAGCCTCTCCGGCATGGTGATCGGGAGGAAGACCCCAAACGGGGCCCCCATCTGCTTTCTGCTGAGGTTGGGGTGGAGGACCCCCAGGCTGGGCTTGGGAGCTCCTGTCCTGGGAGCTCTGCCCCTGGAGCGGCCAGCTTGGTGATGTGACCCGTGCACAGGCTACCCCCAGTGCGTGCCCGATGCCTGGGGGGGCCCTGCAGAGGTGGTGTGCACCCGGCAGGTCCTAAACTGAGCCTAAGCAAGAAAAGACAGAGGGACCTCCGGGTGTGGGTCCCAGCTTTGGGGCCTGTCAGCTTGAGTGAGCACAGGGAGAGTTCAGGCACGCACGTGTGGTCCACGGGCCGCTTTTGCTTCAAGGCGGGACGGCACATGTGGTTGTATACATAGGAGACGAGAAGGTTGTCTTCTGACCGCTAGTGTTCATTGTCAGTGGACCATGGGTCACTGGTGAGTTCCGACGTGTTTCTTTTGCATTTTACTGTTTCCTAACTTTGCTACAATAAACGCATACTACTTTTGTAATAAAACGGAAAATGAAGAGATGGGAGGAGTTACGTTGGGTGTGATAATAAAGGCCCCCTGGGAGATGCTGAGAAAAGACCCGAGAGGCCTCGGCTGCCCTGCCTGCTGTGAGTGTGAACGTGGGACAGACCACAGACACCCACTTCTGTGTAGACACTTGAGGACCAAAGCAGCAGCCAGGCCTGCACGTTCGCCAGACTGTACGTTCTGAGGAAGCACATCCTGTTACCACGTCCACGTTCTCTCCAAAGCATCCAGCCCAGTCAGTTGTGTATCAGCTGTTGCTTTTGCTTTGCTAGCTCTGGGGGTGCTGGTCGTTTCGGGGCTGGGTGGCCGGCAGCGGGCGCCGAGTCTGGGGTGCTTCTGCCTGTCGTGCTTCTGTCCCGTCCGGTGGTGGCAGTGAGGACCGTGGGGTCTGCATGGTCGGCACTACCTGACCTTGCAGCCAGTGATACCGCTGGTGGAGTTTCCTCTCTCCTGTCACTCTCCTACCCCCGGTTAAGGTCAGAGAGGCCTTGCGGGTCCCGTAAGGTCCAGAACACAGAAGCCCCTGGCCAGCCCCCGTGTGTTGTCACCTGCCCCACAGCGGTACTGTCTCGTGGCTCTTGCCATGAGTACCTTTCTGTCCTGGACCACTGGACTGTGGCCCGTGTTTGCTGTTGCTGGGAGCTGAGGTAGCCCTGGGAAGCCGGTGCCTCCCGTTGGGGTCCCCTGGAGTCCCAGGGAGGGGACTGGGGGCTAGGAGCAGGGAACGTTCTGTTCAATTGAGGGTTTGGGGTCACCTGGATTAGCACTGGGGAGAGCACGGCCAGGCCCTGGTCTGGATAGAGAGGGTTCAGTTCATTCCCGTGAAAAGGGGTTTCCTGTGAAAAATGGTCTCGGGCTCACATTTACCATTACGCGATTGCTGGTGAGGGTACCAGCATGCCACCTGTCACCGCCCAGGTTGGGGGGCATTTGGGCCAGAGACCGTTTGACAGACACCTGCTCCCCATTTTCAGTGCTTGTCTCGCTCCTGGGCAGAAGCCTGGGCGCGTGTTGGGGGCGTAGGCAGAGCTCCTTGGGAGCCTCACCGTACGACATGTATCACACGTTGCAAAAACTGACTTCATAAAAAGTGCACCTCTGCGCCTCGGTTGGGGTGCTGGTGACACAGGTACGTACGTTTGTCCACGCTCATCAAACTGCTCACCCTTAAAATCTCTCTGCATCTCCTGAGGGATAAGCGGCAGCTCAGAAATGGACAGAATGAGGACCTGGGCCCCGCACTCCCACCTCTGGGAATCCTGTGGTCCGGGTCACGTTGTACGTGCTCAGGCCTTCATCTCGGGTGTTGGTAATCACACAGTAGGTGAAGTCACCTAAGCGCCAACAGCCGCGCTGCCTGCTGAGCCTGGCACGAGGCTCTGGCATCTGTGGGGCAGGGGGTCCCGGGTGGGGGCTGGGCAGCTTGCACCACATCCCCGTCTGTGTCAGGCATGAGACAGTAAGCGGTTATCCCTGGAGCGATGGGGAGAGCTTCTGTTTGTACCCTGGAGTACCCGCTGATTTAAAAACTCTGAGCGTGTGATACTTTTATTAATTGAAAAACCAGTATAGTGAGAATTTATTTGCTCCTCCTTCTGCCTCCTTGGAATGCGCGGCCGACTTGGGACCCCTTGGGGTCTTCTGGTAACGAGCAGCCTCGCTTTGGTTTCTCATCGGTGCCACGTGTGCTCGATCCCACCTGTCCTTCCCGCGCTCGTTCTGGTCCCTGCGATGTGACCAGCTCTGTGTCCTTCCTCCTTGTGAGGGACCGCGACTGGGGCAGCCCCAGAAAGACGGTTGTGGGTGCAGGTTGGCGCCAGCTGGGAGGGACAGCCGGGTTCCACAACCGCCTAGGGGCGTGGCTGAAGCCTGAGCCCAAGAGATGAGCTTCTGCCTGCTTGTTTGAGCTTTTCAGCCTCACACAGGTGAGCAGGAGCAAGAAGGTGAGTCCCTGTCGAGCCTCCAACACGTGGCTGTGCGTGGAAACTGTTCTCTGTGGGTTGTGGTGTGTTTGTGTTTCTGTTTCTAAAAACTGGATGGGGCGCCTGGGGGGCTCAGTCGGTTAAGCGTCCCTCTCTGGCTTCGGCTCAGGTCGTGATCTCACTTACGGTTTTGTGGGATCGAGCCCCACGTCGGGCTCTGAGCTGATAGTGGAGTCTGCTTGGGATTCTGTCTCCCTTTCTTTCTGCCCCTCCCCCACCCCCCACTTGTGCTCATTCTCTCAAAAAAAAAAAAACTTAAAAGGTCTGCACATCTGTGTACTTCTCACAGTCTGCTGTGCACCTCCGTGTCTTACGTTTATACCCACTTGGTACGTCCATACCTTGACTTACTCCAGTCCTGGGACTGCACGTTTAGCTGTATGAACAGGGCTGAGATGAGGTCACTACATGCGCCCTCTGTTATGTCAAAGAAGGGGGGTTTCCAGGGTTGGGGGTCAGGGGCCCCCCACTGCAGCACTAGACAGAGGCTTTGTTCCTTGTGCCCCAGGCAACAGGGTTAACCCCAGCTGCTCACGGGTCCTGTTCAGTCTCACTCGTGGCACTGCCCCCGCCAGACTGGTGTCTCCGCCCTTGACTTCAAGTGAGTCTGTGCACATCTGTCTCCAGAGAACGTTGCTCCAGGCCTGGCTCTTCCTTCCCTGCCAGGGTCCCTCCCGGCTCGGCAAGTGGCTCTGCCCTGCCAGAGGCCTTCCGGCCCAAGAGTGGGGTTATGAGCTCCACGTCGACAAGATCGAGGGCTACACTTCAGTCTTGCAGGATTTGCAGGACACTTTTTGAGGGGAAAGGCGCATTTGGAGGTGGAGGGTGCCCTGTCCTTTTGATCTCAGCTGCATTGTCCCCGTGTATGACAGAGACACAGGCTGAATGGAGCCTTGATGGGGCAGGATGGGGTGGATCCTGTCTGCGGAGGTTCCGGCTCCTGAGCCTGCTTCAGAGTGGCCTGAAGGGGCAGAGAGAGGCGGGAGCCCGCAGCTACACTCTCTGCTGGAATCACCTTTCTGCAGCTCGTGATGGAGATCTCTCGGGCAGGGACGATGGGCCAGCCAGGCAGGCGGAGACAGCCCAGAGCTGAGCTCTGACTGCTTGGTCTCTAAGGGACGTGCGGCAAAATCCCCACAGCAGATCCTCTGCCCAGTTCGGGGGGCGGGGGGCTGCTAGAGTGACTGGCGTCCTGCCTGCAAATTTGGGTTGGAAAACTAAGAACCCGTCCGCTCGGCCCCCGGGTCCCCTGAGCAGAGCTCCGTTGGACAGTGTCAGGGACATCACCCCTGTCTGCCTGCCAGGGTTGTCCGCAGGGCCTGTCCACACTGTCTGTAGACCTTTGTAGACTGTCTTAGCTTGGGTGATTTTTTTTTTTTTTTTAATGCTTATTTATTTATTTTGAGAGAGAGAACTCGAGAGCAGGAGAGGGCCAGAGAGGGGATGGGAAGAGAATCCCAAGCAGGCTCCACACTGTCAACACAGAGCCTGACACGGGGCTCAGTCCCACAACCCTGGGATCATGACCTGAGCCAAAATCAAGAGTCGGATGCTTAACCGACCGAGCCACCCAGGCGTCCCTTCAGCTTGAGTCATTTTTAAATGATCACAGGATAATGCTTACAATGTGTTTGGAGGAAAGAAATTGAAAAAATACCAGTTTTCCAGCCAAGTCTTCAAGATAGGGAGGGAAGAGGCAGCACCGAGCCCACGAGATCCCCCCCATTGCCATCACCCCACACAGAGGGTATCCAGGACCACACGGGCCTGCCCTCGGTGAGGAGATGGGGACAGGGCTGGCTGAGGCCTGCGTGCAGAGCTGATGCCAGCAATGCCTCTGAAGCGTGACAGAGTCCCAAAGCCAGGCATTTTTCACGTGGAAAACGTGTGACCCACACAGTCCCCTTAAGGGGCGCCTGGGTGGCTCAGTCAGTTGGATGTCCAACTTCGGCTCAGGTCATGATCTCACAGCACGTGAGTTTGAGCCCAATGTCAGGCTCTGTGCTGACAGCTCAGAGCCTGGAGCCTGCTTCGGATTCTGTGTCTCCCTCTCTCTCTGCCCCTAACCCACTCACATTCTGTCTCTTGTCTCTCTCAAAAATAAATAAACATTAAAAAATAATAATAAAATAAATAAAAGCTGTCTGGCTGGAGCCGAGTGCCCCTGGCCCCACCTATGCTGGAAAGGAGTGGTGCTTGGCCACATAGGGCACCGTGCCTGGAATAGGACCCCTTCCATCCAGGCGGCCCCCGGCCTCTCGACGCCCGTGTCTCCCTTGCAGGGGATCCTCCTGGTGTATGACATCACCAACCGCTGGTCCTTTGACGGCATCGACCGGTGGATCAAGGAGATTGATGAGGTAGGTGTGCATCCATAGATAGCCCTTGCACGGTCCCTTCCCAGGGTGCACTCCCATCCCCGGCAGGAAGCTAGGGGACCCCGTTGGCTGTCCCTACCCCCGCCTCTGCCCGTTGCCCTGGCTCTCTGTCGTCTTGCACAGTGACTGCCACATACTCGGTGGCCACAGAATGGACAGTGAGGGCCCTGCCTGCTTTGGGGGCAGGGGGACAGTGCCAACATGGGGGTGTCCTGTGCTCTTGCCTCTGCTGAGTACTGTGCACCCCCCCCCCACAAGCATGCACCCGGGGTCCCCCGGATCCTGGTTGGGAACCGGCTACACCTGGCCTTCAAGCGGCAAGTTCCAACAGAGCAGGCACGCGCTTACGCAGAGAAGAATGGCATGACTTTCTTCGAGGTCAGCCCTCTGTGCAACTTCAATGTCATTGAGTCCTTCACGGAGCTGTCCCGCATCGTGCTTATGAGGCACGGCATGGAGAAGATCTGGAGGCCCAACCGAGGTGAGGTGGTGTCGCAGCTGCGGTCAGGAGAACGGAGGCAGAGGGGGCCTCTGGCAGCCCACTCAGGGGCCGGCCTCCCCGGGTTGGAGGGGAAGCAAGGTCCCCGCTGCTTCCCTGACACCTGGAAGCTAAGTTAGCCTGCGCCCCGTGTCTGCTCTGTGTGGGGTCCCGGCGCTGTGCAGGGGTCTGCGCCTCGGTGCTGGGAGGGAGTGCTGTGGACTCTGCCCTGGAGCAAACAGGGGACCGGCTCCAAGCCTCCCCTCCTGGAGCTGACCCATGAAGATCCTGGCTGTATGCTCCCCCGTCCCTCAGCCCCGTCCCACCCCAGCTGCCAGAAGGGCCAGGGCTGGCTGGAGGCCTCCATCTCCCATTAGGCCCCAGGGCAGGGCTGGCAACCCTTGGAAGCGGGGTCTCCCAGGGCACCTCTCTGCGTGCGGCTTCAGGGAGAAGTCGGGAACGGGACACCGGCAGCTGGGCTGTGGAGTGGTGGGCACCCAGGGTCCCGAGCAGGGCAAGCCTGAGCTTTGCGGACCTCTGCACCCTGCCGCCTGACCTTTCCCTCCCCCGCCCCCATCCGTAGTGTTCAGCCTGCAGGACCTGTGCTGCCGGGCCATCGTCTCCTGCACCCCGGTGCACCTCATCGACAAGCTCCCGCTGCCAGTCACCATCAAGAGCCATCTCAAGTCCTTCTCGATGGCCAACGGCATGAACGCCGTCATGATGCACGGGCGCTCCTACTCGCTGGCCAGTGGGGCAGGCGGGGGCAGCAGCAAGGGCAACAGTCTCAAGAGGTCCAAGTCCATCCGCCCCCCGCAGAGCCCACCCCAGAACTGCTCAAGGAGCAACTGCAAGATCTCCTAGCAGGACGGGCCGGGTGCCACCCCGTCCAGTTCGCTCCGGGAGGGCTCACGCTTGGGGAGCGTCTCTGGCCGGGCGCTGGGCCTGGCGCTGTGTGCAGGGAAGGCTTTGACCTCACCGCCTCCTGGGAAGTGTGGGGGCTCACTGCGCGGGCAGTGGTCTGGGCCAGAGAAGCTCCGCGGGACCGGAGAGAGCTGCGGGGATCTTGGCGGAACAAGCCCGGGACCCTGCAGTGCCACGCGGCTGGGAAGTGCCCGGGAGGCAGCTCTGCCCGGCCCGGCCTCAAGGGGGCGGTCCTTGGGGACCCAGGAGGCCTGGCTCCCTTTCTTATTTATGTGGAAGATGTTCACCTTTCTGTACATTTTTAAAGGACGGGCAGGGAGGCCTTTGGTGCAGCCACACGTGAGCCCCTGTCAGCCGTGGGGTCAAGCTTCGGGACCTTGGGAGAGGGAGGGGATTTGAGGCAAAGACGAGGAGGAACCCCCAAGACTTCACCCTTTGAGTTCAGACACTTCACGTGGGGTGTGGGCTGTGCAGAGACCATAGGGGACAGGTGGGAGCTTTGGGCAGGGCTCTAGGGCCCGTGGCTGCCTCCGCCAGCCTGAGTACGGGGCACCTTGTGCCCCTCCAAGGGGCTGGGCAGCCCGCATGGCTCCGGCGGTCTGAATGGTGCGGCCACGCCTTCCTGGGTGACATCCTGCGCGTCTCAGATGGGCTCAGAGCTGGGGGCAATTTCCTAGGTTCCCCAGGGGAATGTTGGGGCTTCTCAGAGGGGATAGTGGGATGCACTCCCCCCGTGTCCCTCCACATGTGGGGGCAAACAGCCTCCCCCTTGACTCTGCACCTTCCCTTCCGGTCATATCTCTGTCTGTTGCTCCATGAAACCGGCTCAGCATCTCCCGTGAGAAGACGCCGAGATCCTCAGGGGGGCTGCCAGGCGCTCTGCGGGTCTGGACAGACCTGCCTGTTTGTCTCCTGGGGCACCTGGCCTCCAGTCTTGCCACCTTCCGTCTGCTGGCCTCGGGTGTGACCCCACAGCTGCTCCTGGCCTGGCGTCACCCCTTGGGGTCACACGTCACCAGAACCGTTCTGACCCAGATTTTCTTAGTGATGCTGCCTGGAGTGGTGCGGGCAGCAGAGACACCGAGCCTCTCCTGGAGAACCCGCCAGCCAGCCTCCTCCTGCCACCTGGTTGGTGACACGGTCACCGGGTCACACTGGTGCTCAGCTCTACCTCCTACTCACGGCCCCATCCTGGGCTCTGGGACTCTCCTGTCCTGGGTGTCTGGGAGGCAGGGTGGGGGCCGTGGCCCGGGTGTGCAGGGGCACCCAGGATCCCCGTGTGAGGCCTGGCCTCAGCAGGGTCAGGCAGAGGAGGCCACACCCATCCTGTCTTGCCTGTCAGGCCCCTTTCTTCGGACTTTGAACCCCGTCACACAGACTGTGTTTTGAGGACGTGGACAGTCCACGTTCACCTTACCAACACTACTTTTCGCTGCTGACACACCATTCCTGTGCTCATTTTGGACGGTTTTTGTTTCTTTGTACAGTAAACCTAATTCAGCTCTGATTTTCAGGCTGCGTTTTATAGAAATTAAAGCCTCTGGTTTTAACTGGCCAAGTGGTGGGTGTGACGTGGCAGGGTGGGTCCGGTGCCGCTTCGTTGACACCCCCTCCACGCCTGGCCTGGACGGCTGGTGCACGTCTGGCTGTGAGGGCTGAGCGTGGCTGCACTGCCTTTCCTGGTGGGCCAGACGGGTGCAACAGAGACGCTCTGTGCCACGCTGCCTCCAAGGGTAGGAACACCCTCGATGTCCGTGGGTCCAGGGCCTAACTGCCGAGTTCACTCCGCTGCCTGCGAGGGTGGTGGGCACAGAGCCAGAGATGCAGCGGATGACTTGGGATCACCACCTGCCAGCGCTCAGCACGGCACTACCCGGGCCTGGAGTTGGCGCCCTCGCCGGGAAAGCCACCAGGCGACAGTGCGTGAGGCTCAGTCCAGGGCTGTGGTGGGCACTGGGGGGTTGGGAACGATCACTCTGAACCTGGCAGCCCCACGCTCGGGGACCCAGGCCTCTGACCGCAGCTCTGAGGGACCGTCCTGGACCCCGTGCCCACAGTCCCCCAGGATGCATTCTCCGTAACTGGGCCGTCTTCCGGTCTCACGCTGACCAGACACGGCTTTTATTACTCTGCCTCCTAGGTCATAAGGTCAGACGTGGGGTCATGAGATGTTTTCCATCCCATCTCAGAGCAGATGCTCGTGGGGCCCCAGACCCTGGGGAAGGGTTTGGAAGGGCGGGTTCCAGCGGCTTTGTCCTGTTTTGCTGCATTAGCTCTCCCTGCCAGCCCTGCCAGGGAGGGGCTTCTGTACCCGTCTGAGGGAAGGCTCCTCCTCCCAGGCGCTTGCGCAGCTCCCAGGAAACCCCCCCCCCC